CCAGGCTGGAGTCTGTAGCACGTGACGTTTTATCTTCCACAATGTGAGTTTGAAATAAAGCCCATATCTAATATGACGTTCAGAGCCTTTCACTTGTTATTCTTCTATACCGCTGTTTGGATACACGACAACCGGAGTAATAGAAGCATCTTCATCGTGCTGATGCATCTCCAGCCACAAGATAATACGATAAGCTCAGATAAGCCGATGACCTCAGAGCGAGGCCATCGGCTTAAATGAGGGATCAAATCGATCGTTTCCAATCGCCCGTGAACAAAATTGGCAGCCACGCGATTTGATCGCATCGCTGTAGCTGCTGCATCCAACCAACCAACACGTTGACAAAGTCAACAAGTGTCGCATCCGTTTAACATGATCGGTTTGCTGCGTATTACACACTAACACTAACACGGCTTTTAGAAGGCCAGCTTCGATTCCAACTGCTTACCACCACACCTCCTCAGAGAGAATTCTGGGACAGGGCAGGCATGGTAATTACTTCCAGAGGCCCGGGGAGTAGATGTAGCATATATGAAGGCTTTGGGGATCAAGTCGATTCGGAATCAAGTCGCATCTGCGGCACCAACCGGTTTCTTTCTTTCACCTCTTTGAACTTCATCATCCCTGAATTATAACCAATGAATAACATCCTCCATCACGGGACAACATGGAAGGAAGTTACTTCCTGCTTTACCTCTAAAAGACGATTCTGCAACTGTGGATCGGTAAATCTTTGCAGCAACAGGCAGACCAGTTTGTGTGTGTGAGTGTTTATGACAGCACTGTCACACATGCTTGGGTTGAAGATATTCTCTAAAAACGTACGTTGTTCTAAATGTTCTCTTTTAGGGCCGCAGGGGCCTGTCGGTCCCCCCTCTCTGGTTAGAAGGGTACAGAGAGGGGATCTGTTCGGAGAGGGTTTGCAGGCTGGTTCACTCTGCTGGATGCGGGCAGGAAGGGTGGAGAGTGAGAGCGATAATGAGAACCTACACCACCAATACGGAGGACACCCCACCGCCCAAATCACAAGGGAGGGAAGAGACTGACTCACCTCCTCCCACGCAAATATAGCTGCAACGCACGTATCTACAGTGAGGTCGGGTAATTAGATTTACTCATGGCCAAACGTGCGCGCACACACACACACACACATTTTTTAACGGCCCCTGCGCTTTTAGCGTTCATGCAAAAGTACAAAGTCAGCGTGGTTTAGTCAATTGAGTAATGCGCACGACCTTTTGTTGACATTTTAAATCACATGTATGTCGGTTATTGCTCTTGGTCCCCCCCGTGCAGCACATCGCAGTGTGCAGGACTGGAAAATCGATACAAGTCTCTCTTTTTTTTTTCTTTTCGAGGTTTTCACAGTAATGGTAATTTGGCATTTCCTGCGCAGGACGCGAGGTGAAAAAGAGACTTTCGGCTGAAGCGAAACAATTCCATCAACGAAACCTAAGCGTCCGCTCGCGTGAGGATACGAAGTTGTTGTTGTTGTTTGTTGTTTGTCGTTTAACGCGTTTACCTTTTCTTCCCGAGTCGCTTGCTTCTCCATCCTGTCCTGAGCTCCTCGGCTCCTCGCGTCTCATCCCCTCGCGCTCCTTCTGCACATTTATAATCCGCCGTTTGCGCGACACGCGGCGTTCAAGAAAGAAGTGTCGACAAACTGCGGGAGCAGACACACAAAGACTGCGCTGTGCGGCGTTCAGGAGGAACTTTTCTCAAGGAAAGTGCGCCATGTTGTCAAATCTTTTCCTTTTTTTTTCTTGTCTTTTTTTTTTTTTTCCCCGTTGTTGCCATAGCGGATTTGTGAGTGCGGGCCGAGAAGGAGGCATGGAGGTCTGTAGGAGGCTGAGTCAGGGAAAAAAACCCAAAAAAGGAAGGACTGACTCAATAATACACCATTATGTTTTTGACTTTTCTCTTTTTGACCATTTCTAAAGGGAATTCAGCGCCAAGTGTAGCTGACTTCTGTTCTTCGGCGTCCACAGAGGCGACAAGAGGCCGCAGCGCGACGCGTCGTTCAGCACACCTGAGTTAATTGATGCTGCGTTCAAGGCACATTGTTCAACTATAAACCGCTAAATTTACAGTTCCCGCCTTGAATATCGATGCAATTCTGTATGATGGTTTTTATCCTATATTTATAAAACGTAAAGTCATGGTCAAGGAGTACAATGGCGTGGTTTTGAAGAGACACTGAGTCATGATTCATTGCAGGGCTTTTACTTTAACTTTTTCAAAATGTTAACTAAGACTTCCTTTACCATTAGCGGATTTAACAAAATACATGCACAATAGGGCGTTACTCATGACATTTTAGAATATCTTATGCATAATAAATCGTTCTCCTACGCAATTCTCCAAGGTTAAACATTAAAATAAAGCTATCAGGATTCAAATGATTCCCCAATAAACTGCAAAACTATTATACGCTTCAACAAACTTGAGCAACTGGGAGAAAAACTGACAACCTACAAGTACTTCTAAAGAACACATACTGTATTTAATCATAGCTGTTTACAACTGTGATAGTCACAGGAATCAAACATACAGTAAATAGTGAACTGACGAAAAGCAGAACACTAAATTAACACATAAGCTCTTGCGATGTCGTACAACTAAATACTATATTTCAAATCCAGCTCAATCTTGTGGATGCAACGGAAGTCAGTAAGCTTACTGTTACATTTATTCAACAAATGGATATATTTGCATTCATATTTAACAGATTCCATCATTTATGGTCTTGTTTGAATCGCTGTGAAGGAGTCCTTTAATGAAATGTTTGTTTGCCTCATCCGCTCCTCGGTGACTCAGAAAGGAACCTCCTTCTCCTTCACACTTCGTGGCCTCATGGCATTACAAATATGCCTCCAAACGATGGACAGGCAGCTGCTGGTGTTATAACTGCTTCTGGATCAGCTTAGGAGGAACCAGCTGTCAGCCATGGTGCAGCTAGTCCAGCTGAGGACAAGCTGGCCACTGACGGGTCACCTGTGAATGTTCCACCTGTGAAAGAAGAAGAGCCAGTTGAAGAGACTGCAGAGTTGTTTGGCTGGACAATACGGTTCTGGATTAAACCCAATCCTAAATTTACTTTAGAGATGAGACCATGTTTGTTTGCACAACTCAATAACAAAGATGTTTTGTTTGAACCTTTTTTAACTAAGACACTGTTGACAAGGAAAATAAACAATTGGGAGCCTCTTCACTGCCCGACCGTGCAGGTAATAAGCAAAAAGTATTTTTAACAAAAACCATATGAGGCAGACCAGTGCAACAGGCCGTCTGATGAGAAATGAAGTATTTGCAGCTCTGCTCCAGTAGATGGCGCAAAAATCCTTTTGCCTTGATGTGCTGTCATGGAAGTTAAATGATGTGGGCTGTGACCAGGCGAAATGTCTGCTGTGAAAAATAATTATAGTTTTTTTTAAATCACACATACCATGAATTACAGAAAAGAACAATTTGAAAAACTTGATTTCTAAAGAACTGTAAAAAAAAACAAATAGGATAACTGTTACATATTAGGTGTTAAAAGTGTTAAATGATTCCTCCCAGGTGAAAATTGATTTAAATAAAGTTGGAACTTTAAAATTTTTGGAATACGAAAGGCTTTGAACTCTTAGTGCAATGTTTAGAATTATGCAATGGAATTTATGCAAAATATAATTACAATTACGTGTAAAAAGCTTTTTGTGTTTCCTCTGATTTTTCAACGCATTGGTGGCAAAGAAAAAAACACCTTCAGAAACTTGTCTTGTTTTTATTTAAATATTTCTTGCTGACTGGGCTATTTGGCACACACCAAGTAATTCTGGTATAAAAAATGTCTGCGCAGAAAAGGGCAAAGATCAAACCCATTTTTAGCAAAGAAGAATTTACGATCGTGACCACTGACCCACTGTGCTGCTGTCCTCTCTCAAGACCATCGGTCTTTAATGTGAGAGTTACTTACACGCAAGCTCAATACTTGAAGAAATTTGATAACGGTCAACTAAATTGCAGATTATTTAGAATGTCCTTTATATGGTCATATTATAATATATATTCATTTTATGCAAAATATCTCTCACACTCATATTTGCTCTTTTATATTCAAGGCCAGTAAAACCAAAGTCGAGGCAGCTTATTCGCTTAAGTTGTAGGTCAACTGACATTTGACCTTGTTTGACAGTCTGACCCACATGCTGTGGCAGAAGAAGCACTGCTATGTAAAGTCTCTAAAAGTCAAGAAAAAGTTGTGTTTACAACATAAAATTAGCCAACATGTATTGCCAACAGTTTGTTTATAGAATATCAAAATTATTTATTTTGAACAATTTTACTTTCTACCAAGTAACTTAAAACAGCTGACACCTATGAATGTAATGGATTACAAATGTATGCACTACAACAATTTGAAAAAGCGTAACATGTAAATAGGTTCGGTTCCCTACAAATAGATGACATTTGTAACCTAAAATTCCCTTTTAGTCGCCCACTTAAATTTGATTTATTTTTGTATGTATTTGAAGACGTTGCCCTGCTGATAAACCTGACATTGACCCCGTGTATCGCCCTGTCATCCCGACGCAGCAGACCGCAGCACACCGGATCGTTCAGGTTTGAACCGTCCACACGGGGGCTGCTTTTGGTACTCGGAGTTCATCTGAGCCGAAATAGTCGCGACTCTTTAGGTAATGCGGGCAGCGCGCGAGAGTCCTTTAGAGGGGACCGGGACAGGCAGAGGACACGAGAAGGTGAAATGAATGATGTCATTTTGAGTCCGATTAAAGTATGCCTTCTTTTTCTTTTCTTTTTGCTGTGTCAGCAGAATGTGGATTTTTGTTTTTCATTCAGTGCATTTTGCATCCAGATGCTCACACATCTCAGCTTTTTACATTGGAGGGTAAAACCGCAGTTGTCAAAATAAGTTTTCTTCATCCTCGGCGTGCGCTCCTCTTCGTCCCTGGGAGGGTCCGCCTCATGCCTCGCGCTGATTGGTCGGAAAGTGGGCCTCCTTTGCCAAGCCCACAGCTCGATTGGGTATATAGAAGGATGCCCGTGTAAAGTTACCAAGAAAGTTTGGGGATCAGCTTGCCATCTTTCCATCCATCAGAGACTGGTAAATTGAAGCAAATCGAATATTATCTTTGTACTTTATTTATTCATTTTTTGGCCTCTTGCGAAACCACTTGTCTGCTGCTCTGTTCAACAGTGAGATGAAAAGCCAGCCGCCGCTTCACGTGGCCACGCCAGTGAGGCAGAGCCTTCCCCTGACTAAAGTAGCTGGGACCCCTGTTTACCTCAAGTTGGACTCATCCCAGCCTACAGGATCCTTTAAGATCCGGGGCATTGGACACCTCTGCAAAACGGTGAGTAATTCTCCTGTGCAAGATAGTGTGGATGAGATGCTGAGCAAGGACCCATATGAGCCGGTATGGAACTGTTGGACCTGCTTTGATGGCGTGTTGGTACCCTTTGTGACTGCGATGTTGGCTTTTTTCCCTCTCAGCGGGCTGAGCAAGGATGTGAGCGGTTTGTCTGCTGTTCAGGTAACTAACTAAACTACTGTTTGAGTTGTCTTTGCCCGTGTCGACGTGATTTGGTTTGGCAATCGTTTTTTGCTCTCAACAGGAGGAAACGCTGGCATGGCGGCGGCCTACTCGGCCCGTCAGCTCGGGGTGCCTGCGACCATCGTAGTTCCAAGTGTCACTCCAAACCCAACGGTGGAGAGGCTGAGGGACGAAGGCGCCACTGTGATCATCCACGGCAAGGTGGGTCCACGTTGTGACTTGCTTACTACGATCCTTACATCAACCACGAGCATGTGTAGACACATGTTTTGTTGGATTGTGGTTTAACTGTGCGCGTATTGCATTTGGAACAGGCTGAGAATACAAAATGATTTCATCGGAGGAAATTAAGTCGCGGCTTGTCTCTTTCAGGCTCTGAATGAAAGCATTGAATACGGGCAGCAGCTGGTGGCAAACAACCCCAGCTGGATATTCATCTCCCCCTTTGATGATCCCCTCATCTGGTGAGACCCTCTCTGTGTGTCTGTCCTTCAGGGATCGTGACATAACGCAATTAACTATATGCACTGTGCAGAATTTCCCGCATAGTAATACATCTGACATGAGGAGATAAGAGACAAAGACGTGATGGGACCGATTCTTCTCTACGAATGAAATTGTTTTAGGATGTGCAACTTACTGATAGTGCCGCTTATCATGTGGTGTCATTCATGCTGGGTTGCAGACGCTGGATGAGGTGTTGTGTAAGATGCATGGTATCTTATCACAGTCCTAACTTTGAGGAACTGTCAGATAAATCAGGTACGCACAGGCTGTTCATCATTGACACTAGTATTGATATGACCAGGGTTTCAAAGCAGATCAATTATTAAAGACAAGGAACAAAATCAAACTGTTTCCTTCTTCACACTGAGCGTGTATTAAATGTTACGCAACTGACCGAGTGGGGTTGTGTCTGTGTGTGCAGGGAGGGCCACACCTCCCTGGTGAAGGAGCTCGAGCGAGACCTGAAGGAGAAGCCGGGAGCGATAGTGTTGTCGGTCGGGGGCGGGGGCCTGCTGAACGGAGTGGTGGAGGGGCTGCGTCGCGCCGACTGGGCTGACGTGCCCATTGTAGCCATGGAAACCATGGGAGCACACAGCCTCAACGCAGCGGTGAAAGCCGGGAAGCTGGTCACTTTGCCTGAAATCACCAGGTACGATATTACTCGTGCAAATGCAAAATAAATGTCCTCACACGGTTTGTCGCGCTAACACTTTCCTTTTTGCTCTCCAGTGTTGCAACCACACTGGGCCTGACGAGGGTGTCTGCACAGACCTTTAAACTGCTGGACGAGCACACAGTGTTTTCAGAAGTAGTCACAGACCAGGAGGCCGTGAAAGCGGTGGAGCGCTTCGTAGGTGAGTGCCGTCTCCCGCCCTGAACGGATGCACCGGCAGAGCTGAGCAGCAGTCGGCTGTGAGACTGAACCCTCCCGTATCTCCGCTCTCTGCAGACGATGAGAAGGTCCTGGTGGAGCCCGCCTGCGGCGCCGCCCTGGCAGCCGTGTACAGCGGCATTATCAAAAGGCTGCAGGACGACGGCAAGCTGGCACGGAAACTGGGCCCCGTGGTCATTGTGGTCTGCGGCGGCAACAACATCAGCATGGAGCAGCTCTGGAGGCTGAAAAAACAGCTGGGTCTTATCTGACGTGGCCGACGACCTCGGGTTCGTCCCGACCTTTCCCTCATTCCTCCGTCAGCTGGTGTCAATCCATGAAGCCCGGTATTCTATGTGCTCCATAGACCAAATCATTCCATACTGTGGGACTATTCTGAGCAGCGAGACAAATGTGAGGCTGCGAGATGTGTGATGCTGCTCGCGGTAGAGGTAGTTTTTGCCTAGAGAAACCTCGGTCAGAAGAACAAATTTAAGGTGCATTTGTATTTAGTTTGCGTGTGTGTTGTTCTTCTTTTGTACATTAAATTGTGTTTTCAAAGTAATAAATTATATTTCTAAATCTTGTCCATAAAGAATATTTGTCATGCCTTTACAAATGTCTTTTTCCTGACTGCAGATGCTTTGTAAAATGCACATTTAACCGTCTTCACAACAATGCAAACCTCAAATGGACTTTTTAAAAACGTGCCTTTGATTTGTACACCGTTTTCATAGTTAAACTAAATGATAAGTAAGGGAGGCCTTAGCTCTTTGCACACATATTGTCTTGGTGTATATAAAGCGTTACAAATATCACGTCCTATAGTTAGATAAAAGACAATGCCTGTAAAGAAATCCAAAACTAACATTGAAATCCTTAAAAACCATGCAATAAGCAGTGTGTAGTCCTGTGTAGCGTCTTGGTCACAATTTAAACAAATCTAAGAGATTGAACTCAAGATTGTTTTTTTACCTAACATAAGATAACAAACACTTTTGGCCCATTTGTTTATATCATGTCCAAGAATCCTTTATCAATTAGGCTGTAATTGACATTGTAAGTCTCTGGTGACTGGACATATCAAGTGTGTTTAATGAACAGTTTGTCCTCCAAATAGATTCTGGAAATCCTCAGAAACAGCACTCTTCAAAACACGCATCCGATGGAAGATTCTGGAACTACTTCAGCATACAAAATGTATAAACTGTTTGTCTAAATGTTGTAGACAGTACCGGTCAAGCTGCTCCACCAGCTTGAAGACAGATGTGGTTACCGGGTCAGTCCCATATTGTCTCACCACAGCAGACATCTCCACACCTTTTAACTGCACTGAGTCTCAGCGTTAAATTGATGGGATGTGGCATTTTTCCTTAGCTACAGTACATTGGTGGGACTATCATTAAAAAGGCTGGTGGGCCCTTTTGTGAGGGACAGTCGATTGGTTATTTTGAAACCAACAAGTCAACATGGGGAGAGACATTCCCAGAATCCCTCTTGGGTGACCTGGTAGACTTCGTGTTACAACTACACATTTTGCATCCAAATAATAAGACAACTAAAAACATAGTTGCAGGGGACACACCAGTGGCTCTTTGCTAATAGCTCAGCTGAAGAGCTATACACACAGGACATATCGCCTATAAACTGAGCATGCAGTGGAAATATTGGACCCATTAGTTGGGAAATCTTTTGCATTGCGTCCAGATCTGCGGATGGTCCCCTTTGGAATAGCTGTGTGGCCAGTGTGAGTCGGTGGGGAGCATGACTGGAGATCCAGCTGGAACTGGCCTGGACCAGCACTCGCTGCTTTGAAAAGGTGTCTGATGACACAACCAGAGCTGGTTGCAAGGGGTCCTTACATAAGAAGGCATGTCCTTTAGGAGACAAAGCGCGTGTACAGTCATCATTCATCATGACCAACAGTCATTGTCCATGCACTCACGTAAGCGGCCATGTCCGCTACACCGTGTCAACACTGTTCAGCCAAGTATGTAAATGAACCATTCGGGGGAGGATTGAGCTGTAGAAAACATCCATTCATGACGTTCATGTTGTTGTTGTTGTCCGAGCAATTCCTTTCAAGAAAATTGACTAAAATAAGCATGAAAATGTATTGGGTCAGTATATAAAAATACATAAAAGTGGAAAAAAAAAAAGACTGCGTACATGAAGACATTTTTTTATTGTGACACAGAAATCTCAAATGCCATCTGATTCTTTACATCTGTATAATCCATTTTAGATATGTTACGTTTCTGATGAGCAGAGGTAAGACAGTAAAAGTTAAGTTAATGCAACCATAAATAATTGTAATAAATACCAAGTAAATGTACAGCACATCTTAATGGCAACACCTCTTTGTATGGATATGTCCTTTTATAACCTGACCGCCCGGAGGAGGAGGAAGTAGAGAAGAGAGCGTCCCGTTAGCAGCGGAATATCAGCCTTTAAAAATAACCAAACAAACCAAACAAAATCTTGCAAGCAATTCAACAATCCAAAATGCGCAAAATGTTTTTCAGTTCTATCCAAGTAAAACGGTGGTTTCACTCAAACAAGAAAACATGTTTCACCATGAGTAGAAGAAATTGAATCCATCTGAGATTACAGACAAAAGGTGATAAGATTACTGGTTGTTCCAAAATTCATAAAAAATAACACAACAAACTGGATATCCAACAGACATTGCCTAGTTTGCTCAATTTAGAATATTTTCTTAGAGTAGTGCAAACCAAAAATACAAATTATATGGTGAAGTGAATTAGCAATTAATAAGAAATGCCATGAACACAATGTCAATTTACATTTTTTTCCCCCCGAATTTAAATTTTTACACAGAAAAATATTTGGTTACGGGTAAAATGAAAAAAGAAAAAAATCAAACAGCAAAACCTTGTTCTTCTTTAAAAAAAAAGAAATGAAAGAGCAATCCTCAGGATAACCCACCGCCCCTCCCCCAGCGTGTGTGTGTCAATGACGGTGTGTGTTGGGGAGCGAGGGGGGGCGTTGTTGCACATTCAGTAGCAGTAGCACACAAACCATGTGGGAGAGCAGCTCATGACATTCTCATCTCCTTCACATTTTCCCCAAAGCGACACAGGATTTCGGGAGAACCTGAAACGGAGGCATAGCACAGCCCGCAGGCCTCTCCTAACGTCCGATCTGCCTGAACTAACGTGCCACCAAAGCTACTCGAAAAATCAAAGAGCAATTTCATAAACTAAGATTAATATAACTTTTTACACAACTTAAATAACCTCTCTTCAGAGACTTTGATAAAATGTATTCAGTTTATATAGGCATACGTTAATTTGTCCATTAGCAGTTCATATTGTTCTTATTCATTTTTAAACAGGCAGTAAACTACATTATATCCTGTACAGCACTTGTTCACATCTTGTGCTTGACGCTGTCAAAAATAGGCAGCATCCCACATTTCCTGTTCTCTCTCAGTAGCCGTACCTGCGTCTCAAACGTCAGATAATTCCATGGAATTCATAAGTTCCCCTTCACACAAAACCAGCATCCCCCTCTGGAGAGAGACTCCGACAGCAAAGACCCACAGAGGGGAGACAGAGGGAGGCAGCTCGGTTAAGCATTCAGAGAGATACAGATGATTTGTTGCTTTCACAGCAATGCAAAGTTCCTGCAACTAATAATTAAAACTGTGCTTTCAATACTAAAAAGTCATCAGGCGGAGGATTTGGCATCAAATTTGCAACCGTAAAGTGCTGATCTGAAGTCATCCTATTTAGCTGTTAAATTCACAGAACTTGACTGAAACGCGTTAAACCCTCTGTCAAAGGTAGGGAAGGGAAAGGCCAAAGAAACAAAAAGCGTGTCACAGTTGTTTCACTTCAATGCCATCCTCAAACTCAGTGCAACCAGAAGATCTTCACATTATCCTCCCTGAATTCTTCACAAAAATGAGTCACGCGTATCATGAAATGTAGTATGTGCGTGAACTTAGGGGGGGAAAAAAGCAGAAAGAAACATGCAAAGCTTTAATAGCCACCCAAAATAAAGTAAAATGAAATGTGCGATGTGGTTGGAGCAGCAGAGCATAAAGAGCTGTATGAGCCTCGGATCCTCAAGTCTTCCTAACCGCTGAGAGGGTCCTCGCGGTAGTGGATGGCGTATCGCAGTTTCTCAAGCATCACATCCAGAGATGTGTACTGGGGCAGTTTCACCATGAACATACAGGTCTCCACGCGAATGTAGCGCGAGTCTGGCTGACCTGGAGGGAAGAGGAACAGGAAGGTGCATTACAACAATATCAACAACTACATCTCTTGCACAAGGAGTCTTGTTATGTATGTGGAGTTTTGCATGAACCCGCGAGAGGACTAATGAGTTGCGTTGGGAGATTATATGCTTGTCTGGGAGATTTGGGTGTTTACGCATCTTATCTTTAATGAATGTAAATAGACGGTTTGTTTTATCCTGATTTTATCCTGATTTACAGATCACAATTCTGTGAAAGTGAGTTCATCAGAAACAGTGTGCCGTTCCACATGAAAAAGCTTCAAAATGATATTATACGGTTAAATTAAAAACACTAAAAACACAGGAGACCAAGTACAGTCTGTGCTTTGATAAATCAATCGTTTCTGCACAATGAAGAACAGCAGATAGCGGCGCTCGTGTCTATGAAACCTTGTTTGCAATTACCTGCCGCTCCATCAGGAGGGGCAATCTTCATGGGGTAAGGGGGAACATGGGCGGTGTCCGGCCCCCCGTCCTTGCAGGGGCAGGTGAACGGTATTCGCTCCTGGTTGCACGCAAACTTAATGAACTTGCAAAGCTCTTCTTGAGTGAACATCTCCAAGGCGATCCAGAAGAACTCGATGTGCTGGTCGGTCTCCATCAGACCAACCTGGTACATGGTGTGAGCCTATAGAGAGAGCAGGGCATGCTGTCATTACCTTGAATTAATGCGAACCTGTGAAAAAATAAGGTGCTAAACAGGCACTTTCACACAAACCTTGAGGAACTCCAGGTTGATGTAAGGCAAGCCGCAGGTGCGCAGCTCCATCTCCAGGGGACTGAGCATGGTGAGCAGCTGCAGGGGAATGATTGAACCGAGCCCGGCACGCACCGCCGTCATACACTCTTTGTTCTGCAGCTCCCTCAGACGGAGACTCCGCACCGCCCGCGCGTACATATCCTTATTCTCCCAGCTTGACACACACACACACACACACACACACACACACACACACACACACACACACACACACACACACGAAGAGGACTATTATTAGTTCAGTCTTATTGATAACTGTGGTTTTGAGCAAAGCTTCCAGTACCTGACGGGGAGGCTGCGACCCCCCTGACAAAGCTCCACCTCGTCACCGATCATAGTGACGTAGGTGAAAGTGCAGCAGGGCCGGCTGGGAGAGTCGGGGCTTTCTCCCGAATGGTGTAGGGAGGAGATCTCAGCACACAGGGCCTCCAGCTCAGTCTCATCACTCGTCTGCGGGGTCAGAAAACCAAAGACCCGTTAAGGTCAGGTAATAATGGTATTAGCTGAGAACCTTTTCTGGTCCCTTACATTTTCAAACTTCTTGACGTAGTTGTAGGTCAGCACAT